TGTAGATCCTCAGTACTATCCCCTCTGACCCCCAAATCAGAAGTCTTGATCATCATCATGGTTGTTTTTTGAACATTTGAAAAATATTACAAAGTAAGCTGGGCATGTAGGTGGTGCATGCCTACAATCCCAGCACTCAGGAGGCTGAGGCAGGGAGTTTGAGTTCAAATCCAGCCTTAGCAATTTAGTGGGAGGCTGTCTCGAAAAACAAACAACAATCTTGTTATACACTAAGTTGTATCAACGTAGGTAGAGTTACTATCCCTTAGAATATTATGCATCAGTGAATTTCTCTTTTCTTAACATTTTAAATCCATAGTTTTCTATCTAGTTACTTTATGCTTGAGAAAAAAGGAAAATATTAAAAGCAAAAATTTTACTTTTTAACGATTATAAATTATTTAAAAGGCGAAAGATATTTGAATATTAAATTGTAGTAACATATATGAACTCTAGATTATTTATCATCTAGATTCAGTGTATTGAAACAAATGATTATTTTTATGATAAATAAATATCAGGTAGGACTCTTAAGGATTGACTGTTAATCTCTTTGACTACAAGATGAGTTTTCTTTTAGCTCTCAGAAGGCTCTAAAATTGCATCTGTCCTATGAAATCTTTTCTTGGCCACCTAACTTCCTTATTGTATGTTTTTGGATGTTTTAGCATTGCTTCCTTGAAATATAGCTTATAAAAAAGTACAAACTTAGTTGTACATGGTGATGCAAGCCTGTAATCCCAGCTACTTGGAAGATTGAAGCAGTAGGATTGTAGGTCCGAGGCCAGTCTGGGCAACTAAGTGAGATCCTGTCTCAAAATTTGGAAAGGAAGGAATGAGAAAAGAAAAAAACAAATGAGAAGAAAGGAAAAGAAAAGAGAAAGAAAAAGAAAAAAAAGACTATGGGAGTAGCTCAGTGGTAGAACACCCCTGGGTGCATCTCCAGTGATCACCATCGTCCCCCCCCCCGCCAAAAAAAAATGAATTTAAAGGAGATTTAGAAATTTGGAGTTGGAGTTGAAAATTTTATGTATATACATTTGCTAAAGACTCATTTTAAATACTCAGTTTCTTAGCTCATACCCTTTATATCATGAACATAGTCCTTGAACACTCTCTTTTAGGCACTAATCTAAAGATTAATAACCCAAAATTCTGGTTCTTCCTTTCTCTAATGTTTGGCAAATTGTTTGATTCTTTTGCCTGTGGTCCTGTAACTACAAAGCAGGAATTAACAGTTATGATCCCAACCTTTAACATAAGGACGTTACGTAAATACATAAATATCCTGACACTTGGATTCCAGGATTCCCACTTCATGGAGAAAATGAAAGCCATCCCATAAGACATTTTTTTACTCACACATAAACTTTCTTGAAGTTCCACTCTCTCATCCTTCTCTTTATGCAAATTCATCCGTATTTGAACTTGTCCTTTTTGTGTGTAGATGAGATGTATCTTTCTATTTAAGGTTATTGACTTCATCACCTCCTACAGTTTAACTTTCTCCCTTTACCATATAGGGATATACAAAAAAGTTAAAAATCCTTACCTTCATTTTTTCATTCATTCTTCTGAGGTAACTGTGAAGTTTGTTGTGTGTCCTTTGATTTTTTTTATGCTTTGTATAATTGCGTGTCTATGTATGTATGCATATTTTCTTTATATAAAAATAGAATAATAAAATATATGTTACTGCACAGTTTGCTTTCTGCAGGTTGCTTTTTGTTCCTTAATTATCTTGTGGGCATACATATATTTAATTATTCTTTTGGCAGCTGTATAATATTTCACAGAATGGATATACCATAATTAATTTAACTGTTTGTTTTTTCATTTTCGTATTTTTTTCTGATTTTTTGAAGTTATCCACAATTCTGTGCAGTAAATTTACTTGCCCATATTGCTTGTGTATTGGAGTGCTTTTTTCCCCCTTAAGACAAGGTTTCACTGTGTAGCCCAGGCTGGCCTCAGACTCACTTTGTAGCCCATGCTAGCCTCAAACTTGTGATACTCTTGCCTTAGCCTTCCAAATGCTGGGATTACAGGAATACAATACTGAGCCCAGGTTGGGGCTTTTGTTTTAATTGACTACATTTCTAAGAGTGTTAGAGCAAAGGGCATTCAAATTTAAATGAAACTATGAAATTACTTTCCTGAAAGCTCTATTATCCTACAAAAGCAGTGTTATTCTCTTGTTACTTTCCTCAAAACTGTGTGCTTGCTGATCTGAGTGATGAGAAACAGTATCTCAGTTGCTGCTTTAGTTTTTATTTCCTTCACTGCTGTTAATGTTCAGCATGTGTTAATTGGATAATAATGTTTCCTGGTATGTAAATTTTGTTTTAATATTTTTAGCCTAGTTTTACTGGATTGTGTATCCTCCTCTAAACAATTAGTAGGAGCTCTATTTTAGGATTATTATTTCCTTGATATATTTTTGGAATATTACTTCTTAGAGTATGTGGTTTTTAAAAACTTGTTCAAAGACATTTTAGCCAGATTAGGTGACATTTTAAAGCTAGTTTGTGAGTGAGAACCTGTCCTACCAGATGTTAACTTTTTCTATGGAATTATTCAGCCCAGACAATATGATATTGATACAGAAGTAGGCAACCATAGCAAAACAGTGCACAAGAACAGATATGAGTGTATTTGAGATCTTACAGTATGATGAGGTGATATCTCAATTGAATTGGACTAAACAATGGATTTTTAAATTATTTTAGTTAATAAGCACTGTGTACCTAGGAAAATAACCTTTACACCTTGACCAACAGTAAATTTTGGACAAATGAATACAATTCAGACATTGAAGAGCAAATAACAACCTCCTGTGTTTATTTTTGTCAGAGTATTTCTGGTACATTGAAATTGCCTACTTTTGTGTTTTCTTCTTTGTTAGATTATAAATTCCCTGAAGGCAGGCAGTACATCTTTTTTATGGTTTTGCTCCCATTACATAAGTGTGATGTCACTACACAGTACTGTAGGTACCTTTATAAATATCTGTTGAATTAGTGAGCAAACTTGTTCCTTTGTTGTTCTGTATTCTATTTTCTATTGCCAAAAAATTATTTACACAATAAAATATGTTATGGACAACTACCCACTTTGCCTCTAAACCTGTAGCAATAAATAGTTCAGAAAACGTAGGAGTCTGCATTAGGATTATTGTATAGTGAGTAGGAATAGAAGTAGATGGAATCCATAGCAGTTGAGTAGGTAACAAGACCTTGATAATTGCATTGAGTGTGGCAAATAAAGGAGGAAACATAAAAGAATGACTCCTAGATCTTGGTTACATTCACAGAGATATGTTACGATGATAAAGGAATATTGTTTATATGTGAGCTTATGTATTCTCTGCCCCTCTTGATGCATCTTGTGTCTCTCAACACCAAAAATTGCATTTTCAGCCATTTTTTTCTTGAGAATTTTGTTTGCTTTTTTCCCTAACTTACTGAATTCTGTTTTAATAACAACTAATTTATTTTTGAGGGAACAGTGGGAGAAGAATATGAGTTGGCAAAAGCTAGAACCCAGTTTAACAGGCAAGGAAAACCAAGATACTTTTATATTCATCATTTTTAGTTCTATTTTAGGGACATTTACCATAGAAGAGTTTCACTATGGCACATTGAAAGTTTAGAAAGGAAGAGATCCATGGAGTTTAGCGTTTATAAGAGAAAGAAGAAAGAGGATATGTTGGCAAAAGTAGAACATGCAGTGACTCAAGAAGCCTAAGATTTGAATGGTGATCGTGGGTAGCAAAAATGTTGAGATAATTATTTTTTAGTGGTGAATGGTGTACTCAGATCTCTCAAGATTCTGGTGTGGTAAAAATACAGTACCCTTTCAAGAGAAAAAAGCCTTTGATGTAGGGATCTTTCTTCTCTGTATTCCCTGGGTATTTCCTCTCTTTCTTACAAAAAGTATCCTGATTGGCACTCAGTAAATGTTTATCAAAGGAATTAATTATGTTTTATGACTCTATACATAAACATTACATTCCATTTTAATAGTAAATTTGTTTTTTTAAGTTTTTACTTTAAAAGGCTCTTGCTACTATTTGCAAAGTATTTCTTTTTAAAGTAAGAGGTGTGGATTTCTTTACATCCATTTCCATTTCCTGAAACATTTTTGTTAATATAATTTTTTTACATTTCATTAGCTTATTCTAATCATAGGGTAGAGTTTGTTAAACATAGCAAGTAGGCCATTGACCAAGATTTTATATATAGTTTCCATAATTTTCAAGGCTTTAAATATATGAAATTAGGTTAATTAGGTTTTTTGCTTTAACATACATTTTCTATCCTTGTTATTTTCATGTATAGTAAAAAAAAAATTTTAATTTAAATTTTCTCAAGACTTTAAATCATAGTGTCAACTCAGTCATATCCTTTTTCTTTTTCTTTTTCTTTTTTGGTGTGTACACTCACATACACGTACATGTACATGTGTGGCACATACATAAAGGTCCATATCTGTGATGGCTTCTGTTTACATATACATGAGAAAAATCCATTTTCTTATTTGTACTCTTATCAGAAATAGGAAGAGAAATATAAGGTGGAAATTAGTTGCTTATAAAATAGTAGTTTCCAAATGCTGATCCATAGACTGGTGTCAGTTTTAATAACCTTGATGATCCAAGGTGAAATAAAGAAAATGTAACGATGCAGATAAATATGATTTTAATCAACATAATTACTATATTGTGAGTGTATTCTTTCTCTTTTACACTTTGGAGAATTATAATGTTCAGTGTTTTGTGAAATGTTGATAAAGTGATGGCCCATTGTTGGTAAAGATGATACTACTTTGTAAAATACAGCCACAACAAAAATAGAATCTAATATTGTTTTCTATCCTAAGTTTAAAAATTTTACTATATGAAATTTAAAAGTCTTATAATGATCTTACTTCTTGGGAAACATTAAAATATATTAATTTTACCCTTATTATTTATTGAGTAATTATTTTTTCATTCACAGTACCTGGTTATGGATTATTATGTTGGTGGGGATTTGCTTACTCTGCTCAGCAAATTTGAAGATAGATTGCCTGAAGATATGGCTCGATTTTACTTGGCTGAGATGGTGATAGCAATCGACTCAGTTCATCAACTACATTATGTACACAGGTGAGTCAGTCCTTCATTACATCTAGCTATGAATTACCATGTAATATCTAGAAGCAGGGGTCCTTTTCTACCAGATTTATTAACTGGTGTTAGGCACATTTCTCATCAAGTAAAAAACTTTTATGATGGTATGGGTTATTTTGCTTTGCTGTTGTCATTATTTATCTGTATTACCAAAATGATGTACCTGCTTCTATATACATGTACATGTATGGTATCTAAAAATGCCTACTTCCAGCCAGTATTCCTATAGAGCACTTCTGAAAAGCACTCTTAGTTAAATTTCTATATGCTTTTTTTTTCAGAAAAAGTATACTTTGGCCAGTTTCCTTAGAGTTACTTGTTGAACTCCTCTGCCCTGCCACCACAGCTGGAGATTGAACCCAGGGACTATATACCATTGAGCTACATTCCCAGGCAACCCTTTTATTTTTTATTTTGAAGCAGGGTTTCACTGAGTTGTCCAGTGTGGCCTTGAGCTTGCAATCTTTTTGCATTAGCTTCCCAAGTAGCTGAAATTACAGGCATGTGCCACAGCACCTGGCAGTTGATTCTTATATTGTTATTAGCTGGAATTCTAGGCCATAAACCATAGGTTAATTTGCTAAATAAGACCTACATTATGTATTTTATGTTTCCTAAGAAAATACTTTCAAAACTTGTATAAGTATCAGTTTTTTTGTAGTAAAGTTGAGTTTTTGTAGCAAAGGTGGAATTTAGATGTTCAAGGAAATATTTCATTATAAAATTTGATAGATATTTATTTAAAATTTCTCTACAAATTTGTGTTATTTTTATACATTTTAGGATCGATAAGAGAAAAGTAGGCCTATTTACACATTTTTTATATAGGATTGTTTTTATGCCTATTGACATAAGTTAGATATCTCTCTTTACATAAGGAGCTCATAGTTTATGTGTAATAACAAAATTTAAAACCTTTCTTTGTGGGGGCATGGGGGGCTGTATTGGGGACTGAATCTAGGGATTCAGATTTTGCACTGAGCAACCCTTTTTATTTTTTGAGTCTTACTGTCTTGCCCAGTCTGGCCCAAAAATCTCAGTTCTTTTATTCAGCCTCCCAAGTAGCTAGAATTACTTCACACTTAGCTTAAAATACATTTGATGGTTTAAAGTGTTAGAAGGAAAGCATGACAAAATTATTGGTGAATTAATCATTCAAATGAGAAAAATTTGGGAGATTATATGAAGTGTGAGAAAGATGCTAACAAGTACATCAGTGGTTACTCTTGTATTAGAAAGTAAGTCACCATTTTATAAGACTTAGTTTCAAATATTAGCATTCATCAGAATCATATGGAGTGCTTGTTAAAACCAAGATTGTTGGGTCAACTCTAGAATTTCCAGTTTGGTAGGTTGGCTGGGCCCCAGGGATTTGTATCTGTGAAACAGTTGCCTGGTGGTGATGGTGATGCTGGTCTAATGACCACATTTTGAGAACTACAGTTCTGAGACAGCAGTGACTATTTATCCTAAATTCTCTAAGCTGGAGATTTAGCTCAGTAGTGCCGCTGCCTGCCTCATAAGTGCAAGGTCCTCAGTTCAATCCCCAGTACCCTCCCCCCCAAAAAAAATCTCTTAAGAAGAATATGAGGGTAGGGACAGAAAAAAAGAAGAAATATTATGATATTATGTATATATTTACCAGCTCCCCATGATAAATGTAATCATTATGTACTAATCATTATGTAGTCATGTGATCATATGTACTAATAAAAAGAATATGAACGTGGAAATAAGAGAAAGTTTTTGTTTTAGGGTTTATTTTTTTAAGTTGTGATTTTTAAAATACTGATTGATTTTGTTGGTAATAATGTTCTGAGGCATTAAAGGAAGAATATTTTTAAAAAAATTGTATTTGGGCTTGGGTATAGCTCAGTGGCCAGGTGGGTGCACCATGCATGATTAAAGCCCTGGGTTTAATCCTCAGGACCAAACACCAAAATTTTATCAGATCTTATTTTGGCTTTTGCCTGTTCAGATGCATTTCTGTTATAGTTCCAAATTTTATTGGAAATAAAGACATAAAATTCTGTGAGAATTATAAAGTACATGAAGTTTTTAAGATAATATTGTGAGGTCATGAGTAAATTATTGGATGAGAAACTATGGTGCTTTCTTGTTGCTCAAACAGAACCTCAGTTTCCTAGCTGAAGACTGTCGTTTATAAATATGAAAATACCATTAGATTGGAAGATTTAAAGGTGTTGCTTACTAAACATAGAATCTTAGTCTCCAGGAAATTGGAAAGACTACCCAGTTTAGATCTAGATTCTTGACAAGGAATGATTATTTCTGAAAATTATCTGCTAGATTGGGGATACTAATATGAGGTATTTGTGGTACCCTACATTCTACTATGCTTATGACAGATTCTTAGCTAACCACAGCACCTTTCCTCCTGGCTTTATCTGCACTCTTACAATTTTTCTCAGAATGGCATTCTAGGTGGCACCCGTTTTTCTGATGTTGTCATGTGGGTTGAAAACTATTTTAACCCTGAGATCTACTTATATACCTGTAATTTTAAAAGTTACTTACCTGGTAAAAAGAATCCTATTTATTCTATTGTTGAGTGACTCTAACATTATAGAATTTTATGTTATTTGTCTTTACTTAGCAATTATACTTTCTGAAGTTGTGCCTTATTAGGTTAAACATGTAAACATCTATAATTTCTCTGTCAACAGAATTTGCGCATTTATTTTCTCTTTATTTCACACTCTCTGCCCCCTCCTACACCTCTTCCTCCCTCCTGCTTCTTCCTTTACCGTTCAGTGGATGTTCCAGTGTGTCAATGCACATTTAACCTTCTTAAAATGTTATTACCATTTTCTAAACAGATTATTTCCCAGTAAATGCTTTACTGAGGAAGTGTTTGAGTCCTATTTTTTGAGTAGCATTGTGCTAAACAATGTGGAATTGTAAGTAGGTATAACATGGTCCTGATTTTTCTTTTTGTTTGTTTGTTTTTCTTTTCCCTTCTCCCCTCCCTCTCTCTTTTGAGACAAGATCTCACTAAGTAGTCTCTGCTGGCCTTGAACTTGCTGTGTAGCCCAGGCCTTGAACTTAAAATGCTCCTCCTGCCTCAGCCTCCTGAATGCTGGTATTACAGGTCGGCCACCAGGTCCAGCTAGTCCTGACTTTTAAGAAGCTTCTGGTCTGTTTGGAGACACAAAACATAGAAATAAAAATTAAAATAAATAATCATTTAGGGCAAAAGTATAAGAGATGAAATGAGTGAAGACTGTGAATTGCTAAATAAGTTATATAAGGAAATTGTAGGGAGTTTAGGGAAATGAGTAAAACATTTGATCTTAATGGTCATTTAACTCTTTGAGCCACCAACTTCAACTATATTCTAATAATAATTCTGTGCATTAGATATCATCTAAAAATGGATTCCATTTTATGCATGAGGAAATCCAACCTCAGAGATATGAGTCAGTAAGTAGTGTAGCCTAGATTAAATGTAAGTCAGCCTGTCCCCGTAATTTGTGCTCTTTGCATAACGTTTATCTAAAGAGAAGAAGTTAATGGAGGTGTTTTGAAAGATGGGAAGGCTGAATATAGATCAACAGGAAGGCATTCTCAAGAAAATGGTAGGAGAAATGCACATAGGCAAGGAAATGGCAGCTTGGAGGATAGACTAGCTATTGAAGAGAGTTCATGTTGAGTTTATTAGGAGACTCATTTGTAAAGACAGATTTTAGTTCAAGACAGAAACAGTAAACTTACTGGAAGATAAGTTAGGTAGAACTCTCAATGACATTGGCATAGGAAAAGACTTTATGAACAAAACTTCAGTAGCACAGGAACTAGCACAAAGAATCAACAACTGGGA